AATATTCGACGGGGCGTACACATGCTATGGTGACGCAGCAAATGTTTTAACACCCCTGCTGAATTTTTAGATTCTGCCGGTCAAAAATCCGACTTTTTCAACGACCTTTAACTTGTCTCTTTTCTTAATGAAACACTTGGCCTTTGTATTTTGAATAGAGTTATATCTTCCATGAAAAAGACCTACTGAAACAAGAATGTTTAAAAAATGAGATATCTTAAACTTGCTCTTCGGTTTACAGTAGGCGGTCTCAAAAGCGGTCTGTCCAAGGGTGTTAAAACATTTGCTGTGTCAGTGTATTCCCTACAATAGCATTACGGGGCGAATAAAACCAATGTTGAATTACCAGCGTCCCTTATATCGATCTTTGAATTTGCACGCGATAGGGTATGATCTATTTGACGGGGATGCATGGGAAAGTACTCTGTACGGAGTTTGTGCCTCGTATTTCGATGTGCTAAGTTTTAGGTGGCTTCCACAGGCTGACTCACAGACACCCAAAACTTTATATCTGCGTCTCCACTGCCTTACCATTGGGCCCCGGAAGACACCCGCGTCCATTAATCTGATTAAGGGACGGCGGTTTGTGAATCGCTGTGCTGGATGAAATTAAGGTCATTATTTTGGTAAGCCCGTAAATATTCCGTGTCTTTTCATTCAACACCCCCACAAAAGGCAGGCACTACGCTTGGTAAACAGACGCGACAGTGAACATCCTATGCACAAATACTTATTGTCAAGACTCGTCATCTACTATAAATAAGCCAGAGATCTTTGAGACGGAGCATATGCAGACGGCGTTGCCTGATAGATCAAACAACTGGGATGAGCAGTGATGGTGATGAGGTAGACGAAGGTGAACAAAGGGGTAGCGAGTGTGTTTCTCGCGGTTTCATAAACATGCTCGATGCTAGACACAATATCTAAGTAGCTTCACATGGTACCTAACTTGATTGATTTGTCTTCTTGACCCAATATCAATCCAGAGTGGTTATGTATTGTATATACGGTGGATACTAACACTAGAAAGCCTAACGATAGAGCCCTCGTTAATCACCAGACAGTGAAGCAATATTGATTTGTTTGAAAATTTTTTTTGGGATTTCATATCATCTAAATTCAATAGTCCTAACGCCACTAATCTCAATGTAATGACCGGGCCATTCGAAGCGAAATATTATAGATAGCTGCAAATTGGAAGCTAGTTCCGAGAACCAGACTCTGGAACCTGTGGGGACATTCAAGAAGTATAATAATGTTTGATTCGAATTTGCCACTGTCCTGAATTCAGTTACAGTACCGGTTGTCCGCACGACACTTAAGAAGCTGGTTCCGGTCTCCTTCAAAATGTGCGCAAGTCTCTTCCACCATGGTATCGACAACGGCAGACCACAACTACAATGCGGGTACTGGCGTACTAGCAACAGCATGGGCCTTTACTGCGGCTGCAATTGTCGTCATGGCACTCCGAGTAGTCGCCAAGGTCAAGATTGCCAACTTCAACGTCGATGATGTTGTGATGATCATTGCGCTTGTGTGTTGGACCTGTTCTCATCCGCGGAACGACGGGCTGACCCTGTCATCATGTTTCTATGTATAGGTGTTCCTCATTGCTAGCGCGGCTTGCGTTACTGTCGCGATCCAGGCTGGCCTTGCTCGCAACCCCACAATCACGCATGAGCAGGAGGTGCAAGCCAGTATAGGGTACCTGGTTTCGCTGTCTATAAGCATTATCTCCTGCGCGACTGGCCGTATCGCATTCATCATGTACCTCCGCCGTCTAGTTCCACTGCAATCGAAGACGCGGATTGTCTTATGGTTACTGCTGGGGCTCCAACCGCCCGTTAACCTGGTCCCGGTCCTCCTGATGTACCTTCAATGCAAGGACGTGGCCGCGGTCTTTGATGCTACTATAAGTGGGGTATATTGCATGCCTGCAAGTATTCAGATGAACTGTAGTTATTTTCAGGGTGGTCCGTATCCCCCCTCTTTCTCTCTTAGCTCCTATGGCTGGTATGCCCGTGCTGATTGCCCTAGCTTTTAACTCAGCAACTGATCTATACCTCGCGACCTTCCCGATCTACAGCTTCTGGAGCTTGCAACTCAGACTACGCATCAAGATCGTGCTTCTATGCCTACTCAGTATGGGTCTCTTGTAAGTGCATACAGAACTACGCTTCGAGTATACTCGTCTCTAGATTTTCACTAACACCATCTGCGCCGCTTTTCCTATAGTGCCATGGTTGCCTGTATAATCAGGACGGTCAATCTTTATTCAATCCGGGAAAGGGGATACCCTGCAGTCGTGCAAGCCAATCTGTTACATTGGGTTTACGTCGAGGCAGGTCTGGTGGTGATCACTTCTTCTCTTCCGTGCCTGCGGCCTCTCTTCGTGACGATGCCGAAAGATTTCAGTAGCTCACCGAGACCGGCGTACGAGCTCACTCCCTTATATGGACAGTCCGGCCACACTCGGTCTCACATCACGTCACGCGCTCACACATACATCCGCGGAGATGCCCACGATGGCTGGGGTGGTGGAGACAGTGCCCGCCAGATCCTGGAGGAGACACGCGGTGGGATCACTAAGGAGACGACTGTGACGGTGCAAAGCGAGAAGCTACCAGCATAAGCACCCTCGAAGGGGAGCACCTGTATTATATCCAGAATCAGGCTCGAAGGTTCAGCTACTGGGAAGGAAGTGATTGAAAGTCATGGACCTTATGCTCTCTCATAGAGAACGTAGAAAGGGCCTATATGACCGGTGCCTCATCTATACCGCCCGAAGTAGTGCATTATCCTCGAATATAGCTCCCTTTCGAGGCTCTTGCTAAGGCGTTGACGGCCGTGAGGTCGGCACCGATCACCTGAAGACTCCAGGTCATTGATGTACGCAGATTTTCCACGGAGTCTCCGGCAAATTTTTTCTCCATTAAAACTACTATCCGGAGCACAGTATGCCCTAGGGATGTGAAATTATCTTCATCTTTTTCATTTTCAGATGAATAAAGTTAATTTTTTTTTTTTTTTTTGAGTTAATTTTTTGCGAATTTGAAAAAGAATAAGGCGCTAGTAATGAGTGCAGGGTCGCGGGGTCGCTGGTTATGGGTCGCTGCATGGATTACTTAGGTCGAGACCGGTATTGTTCCGTTTGGAACTAATTGATATCGATATTATTTAGGATCGCAATCTCCTTGTTAAACCTCGCTGTTGAAATGCCAGTCGCACTATGGCTTAGCTTGAATTTTACCGTATTTTACCACAAAATTCAATTAATACCGGGATTTCCTAACAGCGACAGCACTTCGAGCCCGAAACTTATAACCTGAAGTTTTCTACACTTTCCATGTCTTTAATTATGCCGCAAGTGTCCTTCCACATGTTGATCTGCGGCCATATAATAAGAAATAGCGCCCGCTTGGCTGTCTTGCACATGTACCCTTCCACTGGGTGGCCTCCACCGAATCTCAATCTGACAGATGTTGTCCCATCGATGCCGCAAGATGGTTGACTGAAAATAACTCAAAGTCCAGGCATTGCTGAACTCGAACGTGTTCCGGCCGTATAAGACATTGATGGTCTCCCGGTACCTAGGCGAATATCAGGTGTTGTCCAAGACAGAATTTTCAATCCCAGGAGAGATATAAGGCTCCCAGTGGCTTAAGCTACCGTATATCTCCTTTCACGGGCTGCGCAACCGTTTCATTGAAAATGACGCAAGAATCCAGTGAGCATATAATGTGTCCCAGTCGACGCTAATGCCGCTGGATGATATGAAGGCGTAATCCACCTAGTGCTGCCTCCCAGATCAAATGCCTGACCCCTCGGGGCTCCCCTGGTCCAGGAAGGGGTGAGGCATGTTATCTGTCCCTTCCGGTTTCCATTCCCGACGTTGGTTATTCTTCGGTTTAGATTGTTCAAAAAGGCTTTTATCTACCAGATATGTCCGTGGTAGTACACCTAAATTTAATTGCCACCCAGAAAAATCAAATTTAGTAGTCTGTAAATAAGGTTACCAAAAAGACTAATTAGAATTAGCAAGCTGATTGGTCAGTCACTATCGTAGATCTGGTCGGCTTTAATTCCTTCTAGAACGTCTCAAATCTCAATCGGGGGTTTGGGCTCATTGAAGTGAGGGAACTTTCGTCTTTGCCATTGGTGGCTGATAAGGTCCTATGCCGCGTAATACTGGTCGACCCCTATCTTTTTGACCTTTTTGCGTGCAGTGTGTGCATTTAACACTCAAGCCTCACATTGCCCAATGGACCCTGGGGCCAATTGATGCTTGACAGGCTATTGGTTTCCCACGTCTGGCTTGCCGCGTGGTATTCCTCGGATGGGGGTCCTTCGTACTCGGAGATACTGGGAGGCAAGCTTGGCCTCCCGTATTGAGTACTTTGACCCGATAATCTGCGACAAAGACAACTCCACGGGCTCCAAAACCAAGAACGCTAGCCATTCATGCCTATAACAGCGGCGAAGGCGAAGGAAGCTACGATGCGAGAGACGGGTGATTTTATTGTGGAGGGGCCGTGTTTCCACGCCCTCCTCGAGCTGCTGCACATGGACCAGCTCCCCTTTGTTCTCACGGTGCCTGGCGAGAAAGATATGCTGCCGCTTGGGGAAAATTTCGATGTCCTTCTCATAGTCAGCATATGGGTCTAAAACTGGGAATTGTGGCCTGCGAGAGGAAAGAGAACCGGGGTGGGAGAGGGTCGTGCATGGAGTAGACTTTCACTCTGAGATTTCAGCGAGTGGCGGAAAGCCACTGCCCATGAGGATGCCGTAGGTGCAGAAAAAGTTTCTCCGAAGCTAGGCGGGGAAACTAGCGGAAGCGATGGCTACGAATAGGCTGATGATGAAACAAAGCAGCCAGCTTGGCCTCGTGAAAATTAAGTGCCACTTGAACTCGAGCGCACTGTTCACTGTCAATCCAGCTGTGCCAGCATTTCTCGACATCGGCACTGTCGATTAATCTTGTGATAGGCCAGAAAGAGGACCCAGCCCATTTGCAACAGCTCTCATTGCTGATGTAAGTTGCCCACGAGGCGATTCCGTCTTAATTTTAACCCAGGCAAAATTCCAACGCATTGGTTGTATGCTCAACCCAGGCGACAACCACATTCGCACGTTGGCATTCTGCAACTCACGAGTAGTCATTGCGTCTCCTCTGCTGTTCCCAGGTACAGTAGACCTCATGCTTGGTGACCTTCTAGGCCGGCTGGTTTCGGCATGCAAACACCGCAAGCCCTCGCTTAAGAAGACAGAGCGATGAATGGATGCTTTTCACGGACCTTGTTCCTGGGAAATATCGACCAACCCTGGGTACAGATGACATGATAGTAGTCGCAGCAACTAGGAAATGTTCGTAGTGCTTCAATCTTCATGGCGCAGCCGGTGGTATCCGCAGAATATAAGAGTCAGCTTTGCCCTCAACTTAATTCTGCATCTCCTCCTTCGCAAAGAACCGCCCCTATTCAATCTCAACATGGTAGACCAGAAACTCATACTTGGCACCCAAATCCTCACTTTCCGGTTACATATGGCTTTGGAAGGACATCCGCTATTTCAACCAACAGAAGACATCAAGCCTAGGCCCAATTCGCCGAGAAAGTTGTTGCGGGCATCCGCTCTGGATGGCGGCCCAATTACTGAAGACGGAAGCACGAGGGGTTCTTGCGCGTCATCGCCCGATGTAAGTCTCATATAATGCACATTCTGGGAATTGGAACTGAAAGATCACAGTTTCAAATCGAATCTCCGTCCTCGCTTGATGCACTATCCGACTGCGAGAGGAGAACTGACTTGCTGTAGCGTTTACGAAGGGCGTGGCTCTTTGACTTGGAACGAGAACAACTATAGTTGACTCTAGATACAAGACGTAGCGCGAGGCAGCAGAAGGAAGTAGCTTCCTCGCGTTCGGGAGAATCCATATACAACGACTGGCCATAAGTTTGGACACCCTCCTAGGCCTCTACATGGTGCGGTCTTGGTCCTCAGATCGAGGACCGCGGACCGCACCGCACGGTCTTGCGGTCTCAAATTTGAAGATTGAGACCGCCCCATGGTGAACCGCGGTCCCTTGCGGTCTTCACCACGGTGAACCGCAATTGCATAATTCCGCTAAGACCTTCCCTTCTCGGCTGCATAAATTGATGAGTTATCCTTTTTGATTACTGTTATTAAACACTGTTTTGGTTTCTTTTTAAACATTCGCGGTATTTCGGCATCTACCACCATGAAAACAGATGAAATATTCTCGTATATAAAGTATTTACTATTTAAAATACCTATCCCTGCTAAAATTGTTATAAATTAACGTTCTAATAAGGAGGTTTTATGTTAGTTATTGTGCGCTATGTATAGCAGGTGAGAAATATATATTTTGATACTGATGCCTAGTCCTATTTATACCTAGATTTCTATAATAAATTTACACGACCGCTTGTATATGGTAGAAAGACGTAAAACGGGTATCACTAGAGAGCGTAGATATTCTAATTAATTAATTATTTATCTCGAAATTCTCTATTCTAGTACTGGTATAGCCGTGTCACGGGACGACCCCCCACCCTCTCGGGTAGAGGGTGTCCCTCAGCCATAATGCAATTCTCAGCCATAATGCAAATTCTCTACTTTTTCAACTGTCAGGAAAATGGTGATCAGCATCGTATTGACCCAAACGGTACCTCTGGGATTCTAGAGGATTCGATACCAGGTATTCTCGAGGCTATTTTAACACCCTCGATCCCAGTAGATAGGAGACAGGAATCAACACTCTTTTGATCCCATCATTTTTGGGTAGTTCCCCTTTTTGATTCCGTTGCGCCAATCGCCTAGTACATCCATTGTATTTCCCTAGCTATACAGGATATTCCTGTTATAACTCCAAAGGACCACCAATCGGCTGTTGGAGCAACGTGATGACCGTCGCCTTGTGTATCCAGTAGCTCTGGCGCCAAATAACCATCCACATCTCGCTGGTCGGGTTGGTCGATCTCATTAGGTGCATGTGTCTCAGCATCGTGAGATGGAAGCTGCAGCCAAGGAAGACGATCACCAGAGATATCCTGGATGTAAAAATCGAAGTCACCGAGGACCAGATAGCCGGTAAGGTCGATGTAAATATTGCGAGGTTGCAATCTGCCGCACACAATTGTGCGATGGTGGAGATAATCCAAAGCGCACTGAATTTGAGCTGCATAGAAACGAGCTTCGGTAAGCTCAAGAAATTTCACTCTTTTCAAGTGGTCCGATAGGTCGTAACGATGAAGAAAAGCGCATAGGAGATATAGCTTCCGTGGAGGCTCTTCAATCCTGAATTTCGGCGAAACGGCAAAGGGACTGTCCATCTGAGCAGCGGCTGGTCTCAGAGCCATGTTATCGTGTTTACCTTTGCGAAGAACCATGCGCGCGTAGTCCTGCTGCGTATTTTTCTTCCTGTGAAAAAGGAATGACAGATTAATAATAGCCGGGGCAAGTGGTACCTATATGCTGGGAAGAGATGCGTACCGAACGATCACCACTTTCGTTAAAGAACTCAAGGATTCTGGACATCGATCACGGATATCGAACGGTTCAAGCAAGTTGTGGGTTCCGCCGAAAGGACCACCGTTTAAGTTGCACTGGTGACGCGCGCTCCGCAAGCTCCGCACGCCGATGCCCTGAAACGAAGTGAAGAAAGTGGACATAGATGTAAAATATGAGTATGGAAGTGATATTAGACAATACGGTGAGAAAGGGACATGAATGCTTTGTAGAGTTATTTGATTGGTCACGGACTTCCAGGAAGGGCGACTGAAAAGCTTATATATTTAGCATGTGATGACATCTGTGGTTAGGCGGGGAATGAATTCTGACACCCCATATCCTATCCCGGAATGACAAGACAAAGTTTCATTCAGAGGCCTACGTTATCATCTAGCCATGTCTCTTTGCCCAGTTCGGGTTGAATTCAATTGTGAAAATACGTTTCACCTGCTCACATATGTTCACGATCTTCCTCGTAGTCTTGTTCCCGTCGATTCTATGGTCATTCCGAGGGACTCCGAATACGCAGTTTTGCTTGAGCGCGCAGTATTGCCGATCCTCAAAGAGCATGAAGTTGCTTGTCAGGCAGCATCAAGTCCCCATTGTGGTGTTTGTGGCTCGGCAACGGAGCAAATCTTGCAAACGCCTATATCTATTATTCAAGATACAGGGCATCCGTTTCTTTCGGTGTGGGTCCATTCTGTTTGCGGCAAATCAGAATGCGAAAAACAGACGAGGAATGATATGGACAGGATCATGGGCAGGCTGAGACAGCAACTTTCGGATGAAATGCGCTCGGAAGCGAAGGACTGCAAAGTGTGTGGTAAGTCGGAAGGAATAAAAAGATGTGCCCGATGCAAGGCTGTAGTTTACTGCGGGATCGAGCATCAGAAAGCAGATTGGAAGACACACAAAATGTTTTGCGTGCCAGGGGATTGGGAAGGTCGCTAGGAAAGGCACGTGCCATTACTTTTTGGGTTTGCTACAGATTGATGTAGCTGTTTCTTTTACAGATGTAAACGAAGTCATTCTATTCTCTCATCTGGTTGGGATGAGCTATGACTTTCATTCCGCACATCTCCTTCCCAGTCTGACATTGCTTTTTTCTCCAGTTCATGCAATCTTTGCATTTCAGCGAGCAATCGCGGGTCGGGTTTGAATCGCAGGTCTTTCATGTCTAGCTTCTGGAGGAGATGAAGTCCTTTGGAGGAACGAAGTCGGGATAGCTGCACATACATCGAGCAATACTTCCGGTGACGATCTTGTCCTCGTATGGTAGAGTCATCTTTAAGGTCGAGGATCGCAGCTGTAAGTGTCGAACCTTGCACTTTGTAGTCGGTGAGGGAGAAAGCTGGGCACTTGGGGACTTGTTTCCTTCGGACCGAATAGCCCTTCAGGGCGACAGATCGCTCCAATGGAAAAACTGGTATGACTGAAGGTTCAAGGTCTTCAAATCCAGTAGGTCTCAGTCTGTCTGGTTTGAATAAAATGCAGGCAGGGGGTTTGGTGCACATGATATAGAGGTCGTCGATTTCAAAGAATTCGGCTAATGTGGAGGTGTCAGGGGGATGGATTCACGACTATTTGAGGAAGACCAACCCACCGGCTGGATCTATCACGATTCCTACTGCAGTCCCCGCTGCGCCATTGACCATGCCAAGCAGAGTACAGATGTTGGTCAGTATAACCGCGGGCATATTTGGGGTGTACAGGAAAAGTCCCGGGAAAGGGATCTTGGTGCCTTGGTCCGGTTGTTGGAGCAAGTCGTCCGCACGAAGACGTAGATTAACGGGACCAGTGGACTTGGTCCGTGTATGAAGCGCAGGAAATATGAAGACCTTTTGGCGTCGTGCCCTTGCAAATTGCTCTATTCGAACGCGATTTATTTGGTGTCGCAGAGAGTTTAGCTTGACGACAGTGATTGCATCTTCTAACTGAGGGCTGGTCAATGACGTGATGGTTTGGCCGTTAAGAACTGATCGATCGGTTTCAGTCAAAGTCCCTGTCCTCGCTCGCGATAGGAGGTCCCGAAATGGAGCATCTGCTGACTGTCTCATTTGCTCATCCAAGATGATTACCTGTTTGAACTGATGCCAGAGGAGCCGACCGTTCTCTTCGTCGCCGGCTCCCCTTCG